TAGAATCATGGAAACCACCCACTCAGATGGGGACTCTTACAATATGCGGATGACCTATTAATTTCCACAGAAACAAAGGAAGAAAGTGTCCAGTGAATGGTGGGAGTATTGAATTTTCTGGGACTGAATGATTATTGGGTATCCAGACAAAAGGCCCAACTAATCCAAACCTGAGTTTCCTACCTAGGATATGAAATAACAGGAGGACAGAGAGAACTTGGAACTGCTAGAAAAGAAGCCATTTGTCAAACTCCACACCCGTCGACCATCAAGGAGCTCCAGACATTCCTGGGAATGACTGGATGATGCAGACTTTGGATGCATGATTATGGTGTTCTGGTAAGACCCCTATATGAACTGTTAAAAGAAACCCCTCTGTATTTGGAATGGACTGATTCAGCAGAGGAGGGCTTTAGAAATTTAAAAGCAGAGGTAATGAGAGCTGCAGCTCTGACTTCTGGATATGACTAAATCCTTTTGGCTATATTCCTATGAAAAACAGGAAATAGCTTTGGGGGTCCTTACTCAGAAACTAGGACCCTATAAGAGGGCAGTGCTGTATTTTTCAAAACAGCTGGACGAAGCGAGCAAAGGATGGCCCAGATGCCTAAGGGGTGTGGCAGCAGTTGTCACGAATATTGAAGAGGCTCGCAAATTCACCTTGGGACAAAAGATTACTGTGCCAGTGTCCCATGTTGTATCAGCAGTCCTGGAACAGAAAGAAGCCCACTGGTTATCTCCTTCATGTTTTTTAAAATACCAGGCCACCTCATAGCAGCCTTCCAGTATCTGAAGGGGGCCTATAGGGATGATGGGGAGGGACTCTTCATTAGGGACTGTAGTGATAGGACAAGGGGTAATGGGTTAAAACTTAAACAGGGGAAGTTTAGAGTGGATATAAGGAAGAAATTCTTCCCTGTTAGGGTGGTGAGGCACTGGAATAGGTTGCCCAGGGAGGTTATGAATGCTCCACCCTTGGCAGTGTTCAAGGCCAGGTTGGATGAGGCCTTGGGTGATATGGTTTAGAGCGAGGTGTCCCTGCCCATGGCAGGGGGGTTGGAACTTGATGATCTTAAGGTCCTTTCCAACACTAAGTATTCTATGATTCTATGATGATATAGAAATTGTGGTCACTAATGTCAATCCAGCATCCTTTTGCAGGAACAACCAACAGAACAATTAACACATAACTCCTTGGCCACTATAGAGACTGTGCATTCAAGCTGACAAGGTTTGAAAGAAACCTCTGGAACAGGCTGAACACCAGACCTGGAAGTGGCTAAAGACAAAAGGATAAATATTTGGACTGATTCTAAATATGCATTTGGTGTGGTCCATGCACATGGTGCCACCCGGAAAGAATGAGGACTTTTGAACACACAGGGGAAACAGATTAAACATGCTACAGAAATTCTATGACTACTGGAAGTTGTTCAGCTACCTGAGGAAGTAGCTATTATGTACTATAAAGGACATTAAAAGGTGACTCTGATCAGGAAATTGGAAATAATTTGGCTGATTTTGAAGCCAAACAAGAAGCTGAACAATCTAAAATCATTCCCTTAATCCCTGACGGCAAACTAACAATTGAGAAATCTAAACCTAGATATTCAATGGAGGATAGAATATTGATTAGAGATCTCAAAGGAGAGGAAAACAAAGAAGCGCCGACCCCTGATTGATGATAACTTCTTAATGCAAATGGTGGACAAACCAGCTAGGAGAGGAGCACTGCTAGATTTAGTACTCACCAGCAAGGAGGGTTTGGTTGAAGAGGTGGTGATCAATGGCAGCCTTGGCTGCAGTGACCATGAGATGGCGGAGTTTAGGATCCTGTGTGGGAGGAATAGAATACCTAGCAAGGCCACAATTCTAGATTTCCGGAGGGCCAACTTTGGCCTGTTCAATCAACTGCTAAGAGAAGTCTCATGGGAAAGGGTACTAGGCGGTAAAGGGGCTCAAGACAGTTGGTCAGCATTCAAGGACCGCTTCTTCCAAGCTCAGGATCTGAGCGTCCCAATGGTCAGGAAATCAAGTAAGGGAGCTAGGAGACCAGTGTGGTTAAACAAGGAGCTGCTGGGCAAACTCAAGTGGAAAAGGAGAATCTATGGATTATGGAAAGAGGGGCTGGCCACTTGGGAGGAATATAGAACAGTTGTTAGAGGATGTAGGGAGGCAATTAGGACAGCCAAGGCCTCCTTGGAACTTCATCTTGCTAGTCGGGTTAAGGACAATAGAAAGGGTTTCTTCAAATACATAGCGAATAAAACTATCACAAGAGGCAATACAGGCCCACTGCTGAACGAGGTGGGTGCCCTGGAGACAGAGGATATAAAGAAGGCAAAGGTGCTGAATGCCTTCTTTGCCTCTGTCTTTACTCCTGCAGACTCTCCCCGGGGGCCCCAGATTCTTATAGCCCCAGAGTGAGTCAGGATAAAGGAGGAGTTTGCTTTGGTAGATGAGGATTGGGTTAGGGATCAGCTATGCAATCTGGACATCTATAAATCGATGGGTCGAGGGGAGAGGGACCTGGGGGTCCTGGTGGACGACAGGGTGACCATGAGCCGACACTGTGCCCTTGTGGCCAAGAAGGCCAATGGCATCCTGGGTTATATTAGAAAGGGGGTGGTTAGTAGGTCGAGAGAGGTTCTCCTTCCCCTCTACTCAGCCCTGGTGAGACCTCATCTGGAATATTGTGTCCAGTTCTGGGCCCCTCAGTTTAAGAAGGACAGGGACCTGCTGGAGAGAGTCCAGCGCAGGGCGACTAAGATGATTAAGGGAGTGGAGCATCTCCCTTATGAGGAAAGACTGAGGGAGCTGGGTCTCTATAGTTTGGAGAAGAGGAGACTGAGGGGTGACCTTATTAGTGTATATAAATATATAAAGGGGGAGTGTCACGAGGATGGAGCCAGGCTCTTCTCAGTGGCAAACAATGATAGGACAAGGGGTAATGGGTACAAACTGGAACACAAGAGGTTCCACTTAAACTTGAGAAGAAACTTCTTCTCAGTGAGGGTGACAGAACACTGGAACAGGCTGCCCAGGGAGGTTGTGGAATCTCCTTCTTTGGAGACATTCAAGACCCGCCTGGACACGTTCCTGTGTAACCTTATCTAGGTGTTCCTGCTCCGGCAGGGGGATTGGACTAGATGATCTTCTGAGGTCCCTTCCAATCTCTAACATACTGTGATACTGTGGTCCGGATGGAATGCACCCACGGGTGCTGAGGGAGCTGGCGGAGGTCATTGCTAGGCCACTCTCCATCATCTTTGGTAAGTCGTGGGAAACGGGAGAGGTGCCTGAGGATTGGAGGATGGCAAATGTCACACCAGTCTATAAGAAGGGCAAGAAGGAGGACCCGGGTAATTATAGACCAGTCAGCCTTACCTCCATCCCTGGAAAGGTGATGGAACAACTTATTCTTGACTCCATTTCTAGGCATATCGAGGATGAGGGTGTTATTAAGAACAGCCAACATGGTTTTATGAGGGGGAAGTCATGTGTGACCAACCTTATAGCCTTCTATGAGGAAGTGACTAGGTGGAGGGATGATGGTAGAGCAGTAGATGTGGTTTTTCTTGACTTCAGTAAGGCATTTGATACTGTCTCCCACAGCATCCTCATAGATAAGCTAAGGAAGTGTGGGCTTGACGATCAGGTAGTGAGGTGGATCAAGAACTGGTTGGAAGGAAGAAGGCAGAGAGTTGTGGTCAATGGGGCAGAATCTAGCTGGAGGTCTGTGACTAGTGGAGTCCCTCAGGGGTTGGTGCTGGGACCAGTGCTGTTTAATATTTTCATCAACAACCTGGATGAGGGAACTGAGTGTACTCTCAGCAAGTTCGCTGATGACACTAAACTGGGAGGAGTGGCTGACACAGCAGAAGGCTGTGTTGCCATTCAGCGAGACCTGGACAGGCTGGAGAGTTGGGCAGGGAGAAATTTGATGAAATTCAACAAGGGCAAGTGTAGAGTCTTGCATCTGGGGAAGAACAACCCCATGTACCAGTACAGGCTGGGGACTGACCTGCTGGAAAGTAGCGAAGGGGAAAGGGACCTGTGGGTCCTGGTGGATAGGAGGATGAACATGAGCCAGCAATGTGCCCTTGTGGCCAAGAGGGCAAATGGCATCCTGGGGTGCATTAGAAAGGGTGTGGTTAGTAGGTCAAGAGAGGTTCTTCTCCCCCTCTATTCTGCCTTGGTTAGGCCACATGTGGAATATTGTGTCCAGTTGTGGGCCCCTCAGTTCAAGAAGGACAGGGAACTGCTTGAAAGAGTCCAGCACAGAGCCACAGAGATGATGAAGGGAGTGGAACACCTCCCTTATGAGGAGAGGCTGAAGGAGCTGGGTCTCTTCAGCTTGGAGAAGAGGAGCCTGAGGGGTGACCTCATCAGTGTTTACAAATATGTAACGGGTGGGAGTCAGGAGGGTGGAGCTAGGCTTTTTTCAGTGATATCCAGTGATAGGACAAGGGGCAATGGGTGTAAACTGGAGCATAGAAGGTTCCACGTTAACATCAGGAAGAACTTCTTTACTGTGAGAGTGACAGAACACTGGAACAGGTTGCCCAGGGGGGTTGTGGAGTCTCCCACATTGGAGATATTCAAGGCCTGTCTGGACAAGTTCCTGTGTGATGTACTCTAGGTTACCCTGTTCTTGCAGGGGGGTTGGACTAGATGATCTCTCGAGGTCCCTTCCAACCCTTGGGATTCTGTGATTCTGTGATTTGGGTTAAGATAGCTGATGGTTGAATTGTAATCCCCTACAACCAACTCTGGAAGCTAGTTCAGGAGGAACATAATAAAACTCATTGGGGTAGCAACTCTTTGTATAAATATTTAGACAAACAAATTGTAGGAAAGAATCTGTACACCACAGTTCGATTAGTGACAATGTCAGCTCTGTCTCAAGAATAATCCTAAAATTGAAAATAGAAATCAAATTGGTACAAATGGGGAGGAAGATATCCGGGACAGCATTGGCAAACACATTTTTCTGAATTACCAAGAACAGGAGGTTACCAATATTTGTTGGTGTTAACAGATACTTTTTCAGGGTGGCCAGAAGCATTCTCTTGTGGAATAAATAATGCAAGACAAGTAATTAAAACATTATTAAACAACATAATACCTTGGTTTTGGAGTACCAGTGGCAATTTATTCTGACTGAGGCTCGCACTTTAGTGCAAAATAATTACAAGAAATTAGCAAAAAAATTAGAAATTGATTGGCAACTACATGCTCTGTACAGGCCTCAGGCCAGTGGGCAAGTAGAAAAGATGGTTCATCTGATCAAACAACAGACTGGTAAAATATGTCAGGAAATAAATTAATATTAGTACCAAGGTTTACCACTGGCTCTATTAAAAATTCGAACTAAACCTTGGTTGAAAGAAGAGGCTAGGCCTTGTAAAATTTTATATGGAAGACCATATCAGTCCCAGTTTAAAGGAGAAAGTCTTCTGGAAGTGGGAGAAGGCTATCTCCGAGAGTTTCTGGTCAATCTGGGAAAACAATTAGAAGAAATAAGAGAATTCTGGGGACAAGAGTGAGAGGCGTGAATTATCCGACCCGTCCTTTTAGATCCAGAGACTGGGTTTATGTTAATAATTTTTCAGGAGATTCTCTACAGGAGAAGTGGAGCGGACCGTACCAGATAATACTGACCACCTTTACAGCAGTGAAGATAAAGGAACAACCTGCTTGGATACATTATTCAAGAACCAGAAACACATCAGAACCGAGAAAAAATATGCCACGTTGAGTCTTCAGGACCCACACATATGAGACTACATTGATCATAATTTGGACTTGTATAATAACAGGTGTAGAAGCATGGAATCAAAATCTGTATCTGAGATTGATACAAAATGTTACTAATGTCTTAATTGTGATTGTTGGATCTGTACTCAGATACCTAAGTCAGGAGAGAGACTGGATATTCCTTTAGATAGGTGGAGACACACCCTAAGGCAAGGGCAGAGGGAAGTGGTTGAACAAGTGATGGATCCCTTCCCCTCTTACCATCAGATAGAAGGAGTGAACTTAAGGGACAAGGAGGTATGGAGGGAGGTCCTTCCTTGGAGAGGTAAGCGAAAACTCTCGCAATCCCTTCCTCCCTCCCAGTTGCCCTTGAATAACAGGTATGAGGTCTTGGAACTACAGGGCCAGGTAAATGGAGATGGAGTGGTAGATCTATCTAGTGTGTCACCTAGGGCTTGTCACTCACCCCCATGCCTTGGAACTTCCTCAACCAAGAAGAAAAGAAGAGTAATTGTGGTGGGTGACTCCCTTCTGAGGGGAACAGAAGGGCCCATCTGTCGACAAGATCCATGCCAGAGGGAAGTCTGCTGCCTACCTGGGGCTCAGATTAGAGATGTTAAAAGGAAACTCTGATCTGGTACAGCCCTCTGAATACTATCCGCTGCTGGTTTTTCAGGTTGGCAGTGATGAAATTATTACAAGGAGGGCAAGGGCAATGAAGAGAGACTTCAGGGCCCTGGGACGGCTGGTTAGAGGGTCTGGAGCACAAGTGGTGTTTGCCTCCATACCTGTTACAAGCAAAGGTGAAGATATAAATAGGAAGAGTCTGCAGATTAATGTATGGCTACATGACTGGTGCCAAAAGCAGGGTTTTGGGTTTTTCAGTCATGGGCTGCTATATGAGACACCTGGTTTGCTGGTGGCAGGTGGGATACACCAGTCCCAGAGGGGGAAAAGGTTTTTGGGGCAGGAGTTAGCAGGGCTCATTGACAGGGCTTTAAACTAGATAGGAAGGGGGAAGGGAAGATAACTGGGCCTGCTGGGGACAAGCCCAAGAGAAACATGCTAGGGCTTGAAGGATGGCGGACTAGGGAGGACTCTCAATCTATTGTTTCATTTGAGGGAAAGGATAGTTGTTTAGACCCTGTCCTACAGGGGAAAAAGGGTACCAGGGCAAGAGTTAGCAGAACTCACTCACAGAGCTTTAGGTTAGATTCAAAGTGCAAGGGGGTTGTAGCTGGGTTTGAACTAGTGGGGCATTGTTCTGGTATTAATGAAGACCAGAAGGCCTCCCTCCTCCCAAGGGTGCCACTAGCGTGCTCTGCTCACTCCCTGAAATGCCTGTACACCAATGCACGCAGCATGGGGAATAAACAGGAGGAGTTAGAAGTCTGTGTGCGGTCTAAAGGTTATGATCTGGTGGCAATTAAAGAGACATGGTGGGACAGCTCACATGACTGGCATGTGGTCATGGATGGCGATGTCCTTTCTAGGAAAGATAGGTCAGCAAAGCAAGGTGGTGGAGTTGATCTTTATGTGAGAGAGCGACTAGAATGTATTGAGTTCTGTCCAGGGGCAGACAAGGAGCAAGTGGAAAGTCTGTGGGTACGAATTAAGGGACAGGCTGGTACGGGTAATACAGTTGTGGGTGTCTATTATAGACCACCTGATCAGGATGAAGGAGTTGATGAGGCTGAAAGCAGCCTCACGACCACATGCCTTGGTCCTCATGGGGGATTTTAATTACCCTGATATTTGCTGGAAGACTTACACAGCCAATCATTCACAGTCTAGGAGGTTCCTCCAGTGCATTAATGATAACTTCTTAATGCAAATGGTGGACAAACCAACTAGGAGAGGAGCGCTGCTGGATCTAGTACTCACCAACAAGGAGGGTCTGGTTGAAGTGGTGATGGACAATGGCAGCCTTGGCTGCAGTGACCATGAGATGGTGGAGTTTAGGATCCTGTGTGGAAGGAATAGAATACCTAGCAAGGCCACAATTCTGGATTTCCGAAGGGCCAACTTTGGCCTCTTCAATCAATTGCTAAGGGAAGTCTCATGGGAAAGGGTACTACGTGGTAAAGGGGCTCAAGACAGTTGGTCAGCATTCAAGGACCACTTCTTCTAAGCTCAAGATCAGAGTGTCCCAATGGGTAGGAAGTTAAGTAGGGGAGCCAGGAGACCAGCATGGTTAAACAAGGAACTGTTGGTCAACCTCATGTGGAAAAAGAATCTATGGATTATGGAAGGAGGGGCTGGCCACTTGGGAGGAATATAGGACAGTTGTTAGAGGATGTAGGGAGGCAATTAGGACAGCTAAGGCCTATTTGGAACTTAACCCTGCAAGTCGGGTTAAGGACATTAGAAAGGGCTTTTTCAAATACATAGCGAATAAAACTATCACAAGAGGCAATATAGGCCCACTGTTGAACGAGGTGGGTGCCCTGAAGACAGAGGATATAAAGAAGGCAGAGGTGGTGAATACCTTCTTTGCCTCTGTCTTTACTCCTGCAGACTCTCCCCAGGGGACCCAGATTCCTATAGCCCCAGAGTGAGTCAGGATAAAGGAGGAGTTTACTTTGGTAGATGAGGATTCGGCTAGGGATCAGTTAAGCAGTCTGGACATCTATAAATCGATGGGTCTGGATGGAATGCACCCACGGGTGCTGAGGGAGCTGGTGGAGGTCATTGCTGGGCCACTCTCCATCATCTTTGGTAAGTCGTGGGAAATGGGAGAGGCCTGAAGATTGGAGAATGACAAATGTCATGCCAGTCTATAAGAAGGGGAAGAAGGAGGACTCGGGTAATTATAGACCAGTCAGCCTTACCTCCATCCCTGGAAAGGTGATGGAACAACTTATTCTTGACACCATCTCTTGACATATCAAGGACGAGGGGGTCATTAAGAGCAGCCAACATGGTTTTACCAAGGGGAAGCCATGTTTGACCAACCTTATAGCCTTCTATGAGGAAGTAACTAGGTGGATGGATGATGGTAGAGCAGTAGATGTGGTTTTTCTTGACTTCAGTAAGGCATTTGATACTGTCTCCCACAGCATCCTCATAGATAAGCTAAGGAAGTGTGGGCTTGACGATCAGGTAGTGAGGTGGATCAAGAACTGGTTGGAAGGAAGAAGGCAGAGAGTTGTGGTCAATGGGGCAGAATCTAGCTGGAGGTCTGTGACTAGTGGAGTCCCTCAGGGGTCGGTGCTGGGACCAGTGCTGTTTAATATTTTCATCAACGACCTGGATGAGGGAACTGAGTGTACTCTCAGCAAGTTCGCTGATGACACTAAACTGGGAGGAGTGGCTGACACACCAGAAGGCTGTGTTGCCATTCAGCGAGACCTGGACAGGCTGGAGAGTTGGGCAGGGAGAAATTTGATGAAATTCAACAAGGGCAAGTGTAGAGTCTTGCATCTGGGGAAGAACAACCCCATGTACCAGTACAGGCTGGGGACTGACCTGCTGGAAAGTAGTGAAGGGGAAAGGGACCTGGGGGTCCTGGTGGATAGGAGGATGACCATGAGCCAGCAATGTGCCCTTGTGGCCAAGAAGGCAAATGGCATCCTGGGGTGCATTAGAAAGGGTGTGGTTAGTAGGTCAAGAGAGGTTCTCCTCCCCCTCTATTCTGCCTTGGTGAGGCCGCATCTGGAATATTGCATCCAGTTCTGGGCCCCTCAGTTCAAGAAGGACAGGGAATTGCTTGAAAGAGTCCAGCGCAGAGCCACAAAGATGATTAAGGGAGTGGAACATCTCCCTTATGAGGAGAGGCTGAGGGAGCTGGGTCTCTTTAGCTTGGAGGAGACTGAGGGGTGACCTCATCAATGTTTACAAATATGTAAAGGGTGAGTGTCAGGATGATGGAGCTAGGTTTTTTTCAGTGATGTCCAGTGATAGGACAAGGGGCAATGGGTGTAAACTGGAGCATAGGAGGTTCCATGTGAACATCAGGAAAAACTTCTTTACTGTGAGAGTGACAGAGCACTGGAACAGGTTGCCCAGGGGGGTTGTGGAGTCTCCTACGTTGGAGATATTCAAGGCCCACCTGGACAAGTTCCTGTGTGATGTACTCTAGGTTACCCTGCTCTTGCAGGGGGGTTGGACTAGATGATCTTTTGAGGTCCCTTCCAACCCTTGGAATTCTGTGATTCCTTTAATTGGCCTCCCTATCACCTTTAAGACAAATTGGAATAGATTATGGAGAGATCCTCTTTATACTGCCAAGGGCCATACAAATTTACAGGTTTTAAGGATACAAGCCTTGAGACAAAGGGGCACAAAATCACAAAATGGGATATAGAAACCTTTATAAGTAGTTTTAAGTAATGTTAAGTTTGATGGCTTTGTAACAGTAGCAATGGAAAATTACTGAGG